GGGGGGGATATGGTTGATGGCGGGGGGGGGATATGGTTGATGGCGGGGGGGGGGGATAAGGTTGATGGCGGTGGGGGGGGGGGATATGGTTGATGGCGGGGGGGGGGATATGGTTGATGGCGGGGGGGGGATATGGTTGATGGCGGGGGGGGGGATATGGTTGATGGCGGGGGGGGGATATGGTTGATGGCGGGGGGGGGGGGATAAGGTTGATGGCGGGGAGGGGGATATGGTTGATGGCGGGGGGGGGATATGGTTGATGGCGGGGGGGGGGATATGGTATGATGGGCGGGGGGGGGGATATGGTTGATGGCGGGGGGGATATTGTTGAGGGATAGGGGGGATATTGTTGAGGGCGGGGAGGGATATTGTTGAGCGCGGGGGGGGGTTTATGGTTGAGGGCAGGGAGATATAGTTGATGGCGGTGGGATATTGTTGAGGGCTGGGGGATATGGTTGAGGGCGGGGAGTATATTGTTGAGGGCGAGGATATGGTTGATGGCGGAGGAAATATGTTTGATGGCGGGCAGGATATTGTTGAGGGCTGGGGGAATATTGTTGAGGGCGGGGGTGGGGATATGGTTGATGGCGGGCAGGATATTGTTGAGGGAGGTGGGGTTATTGTTGATGGCGGGCGGGATGTTGTTGAGGGCGCGGGGGGGGGGGGGGGAATTGTTGAGGGCGGGGGGATATGGTTGATGGCGGGGGAAATATGTTTGATGGCGGGGGGGGGAATTTATTGATGGCGGGGGGATATTGTTGTGGGCGGGGGGGGGGTGGATATTGTTGATATCGGGGGACGAGATTGTTGAGGGCGGGGGGGATATGGTTGAGGGCGGGAGTATATGGTTGATTGTAGTTGGATATTGTTGAGGGCTGGGGTATATATATTTTTGAGGGCGGGGGGATATTGTTGTTAACGGGAGGGATATTCTTGGGGGCGGAGGGGGATATTGTTGAGGGCGGGGGGGGGGATATGGTTGATAACGTGGGGGATATGGTTGATAGCGTGGGGGATATGGATGATGGCGGGGGGATATTGTTGATGGCGGGGCGGATGTTGTTTATGGCAGGGGTAATATTTTTGAGGGCGGGGGGAAATTGTTGATATGGGGGAGGAGATTGTTGAGGGCGGGGGGGATATGGTTGAGGGCGGGGGTATATGGTTGATTGCGCGGGGATATTGTTGAGGGCGGAGGGGGGTATTGTTGATAACGGGAGGGATATTCTTGAGGGAGGGGGGATATCGTTGAGGGCTGGGGTATATTGTTGAGGGCAGGGGGGATATCGTTGAAGGCGGGAGGATATTGTTGAGGGCTGGGGATATTGTTCATGGCAGGGGTAAAATTTTTGAGGGCGGAGGAGGAAATTGTTGAGGGCAGGGGGGATATGGTTGATAGCATGAGGGATATGGTTGATAGCGGGGAGATATTGTTGAGGCCGGGGGGATATTGTTGATGGCGGGGGGGGGGGGGGGGATATGGTTGAGGGCGGGGAGGGGATATTGTTGATGGTGGGGGGGGGATATGGTTGATGGCGGGGGGGATATTGTTGAGGGCGGGGGGCATATGGTTGAGGGCGGGGGGATAAGGTTGAGGGTGGGGGGATATGGTTGAGAGCGGGGGGGGAGGGGGGTATGGTTGAGGGCGGGGGGATATGGTTGTGGGCGGGGGGATATTATTAGGTGTGGGGGGATAAGGTTTAGGACGGGGGGATGATATGGTTGAGGGCGGGGGGGGGGATAAGGATGAAGGCCGGGGGGGATATGGTTGAGGGCGGGGGGATATGGTTGGGACCGGGGGGGATATGGATAAGGGCGGGGGGGATATGGTTGGGACCGGGGAGGGGGGATAAGGTTGAGGGTGGGGGGGATTTAGTTGAGGGCGGGGGGAGGGATATGGTTGAGGGTGGTGGGGGGATAAGGTTGAAGGGGGGATAAGGTTGAGGGCGGGGGTGATATGGTTGAGGGCGGGGGGTGATAAGGTTGAAGGGGGGATAAGGTTGAGGGCAGGGGGATAAGGTTGAGGAAGGGGGGGGATATGGTTGAAAGCGGGTTGGGGATAAGGTTGAGGGCGGGGGGGATAAGGTTGAGGGCGGGGGAGGATAAGGTTGAGGGCGGGGGGATAATGTTGAGGGTGGGGGGATAAGGTTGAGGGCGGGGGGATAAGGTTGAGGACGGGGGAGGATAAAGTTGTGGGCGGGGGAGGATAAGGTTGTGGGCGGGGGAGGATAAGGTTGTGGGCGTGGGAGGATAAGGTTGAGGGCGGGGGGATAATGTTGAGGGTGGGGGGATAAGGTTGAGGGCGGGGGGATATGGTTGAGGGCGGGGGGGTTAAGGTTGAGGGAAGGGATAAGGATGAGGGCAGGGGGATAAGATTGACGGCGGGGGATATGGTTGAGAGAGGGGGGGATAAGGTTGAGAGGGGGTATGGTTGAGGGCGGGAGGGGTATGGTTGAAGGTGGAGGGATATGTTTGAGGGCGGTGGGGATATGGTTGAGGGCGGTGGGGATATGGTTGAGGGCGGGAGGGATATGGTTTAGATCGGGGGGAGGGGAGATATGGTTGAGGGCGCTGGGATAAGGTTGACAGGAGGGGGGATATGGTTGAGGGCGGGGGGGGGATATGATTGAGAGTGGCGTGGGGATATGGTTGACGGAGGGGGGATATGGTTGACGGAGGGGGGATATGGTTGACGGAGGGGGGATATGGTTGAGGGCGGGGGGATATGGTTGAGGGCTGGGTGATATGGTTGAGGGCTGGGTGATATGGTTGAGTGCGGGGGGTATATGGTTGAGTGCGGGGGGTATATGGTTGAGGGTGGGGGTAATATGGTTGTTGGAGGGAATATGGTTGTTGGAGGGAATATGGTTGATGGATATAGTTGAAGGTGTTGGGGGAGGGATATGGTTGAAGTCGGAGGGGGGGGGGGGTTTAAAGCGGGTGGAATATGTTAGAGGGAGGGGGGGAGGACAGATAAGATTGAAGGGGCGTGTCCGTAATTTCCGACACCCCAAATACTAACCCTTAACACAATAAGGTAAATACATTGTGTTTAGACACTAATTTTACTAACCATACTAATAGTCTAATACTCGAAAGTTTAAAGTTCTAGAACATGCAAAGGGATAATTGCGTCAGTAGTCACATGTTCACGGTAACTATTCCTTTACCTAACACTTGATAAAATAAAACTCCGTTTTCAAGCTGCTTTCATTTGCAATTGCCATCTTAGAGTGAGTTTAATTAATAATTAGATAGAATTCTTTGATTTCCTTTTGATAGTAAAATTAAAAACCGCCGTGAATTAATGCTTCATGTAGGAATTGGAATGATTTTGTTTAAATTTTGTCCCGGGGCGACTTTATTGGGCAGCGCCACTCATCCCGTGAGTGGACACACCGCCGTAGTGACAGTATTGGGCAGCGCCACTCATCCCGTGAGTGGACACACCGCCATAGTGACAGTATTGGGCAGCGCCACTCATCCCGTGAGTGGACACACCGCCATAGCACCGTGTACAACACTCCCCAATAGGAAGAAAACCCCGCAGGGATGATCATCCTGTCACTTGTACCCAGACACAGCTGGGACTTGCTTAATTAACTGTCTCAAGTGAACAGCTCCTCAATCAAGAAATTAACATCTGTCAACTCTTAAAATCTTACTTTATTTTGCAAGTGCAAAATGGGGAATCTTTTAAGAACAGTATCATTATTTGACAAATAGTGTTTTCCTAACTCAATCAATGTGGGGTTTATTATTTTACACATATTTCTAATGTCTCAGGTGTTCACATTCTCTCAGGTAGTGGTCAAGGCGGTGTCCGTTACTTTCATCACAGATTCTGCAACCCCACTGCTCAGTTGTTGTTTCCATTCCGAATCCTTATATATTTGTATCCAAGACAGATACTTGCTATTAGTGATTCTCTCCAGCGGCCACCTCCTCTTCGTCCATAATGACTGGGATTGCCAGCTGCAACCATGTTGTACCATCGTACAGATTCGCTGATTTGTGCTTCTTTCCTTCTTTCCTCATTTACCTTGTCACGGTGATGTTGCCTGACAATACCTCTAATTTGCAACAGTCTTGGGTATGAAGTATCCAATATTGTCTCTTTCAGCGCCTTCAGCAGCCAGCACATCTGCTCGTTCATTGCTATATATTCCACCATGGGGAAGAGGATCCATAGTAACTTGACGATTCTTCCCTGGTTGATTAGTACCCTCACAGCTCTCATAATTTCAGCGACTATCGCAAGATTTTCTGCCCGATTTTTACTTGGGATTGGTAACGCTGCTTTTGAATCAGTGGAGACCACTGTGCCATTAGTGTTTCGTTCAAGGAATCTTAACGCCATAACAATGACAGCGCCGTTTGCATTGAAGAGGTATAGTTTTCAATACGTGCTTTCTCTTCATTTCTGCGTTGAAAGGCATTATTCCTAATTACAGTGTATGCTGCACCAGCCCTGCCATTGACAATATTTGATGACCCATCAGTGTAGATTTGATCTAGTTCATCTCCGGCTTCTTTATAAATTTCCCCGAAATACCTGTGCCTCATTTCTTGTGGAATCATGTTGAATTTTTTCGTTGCCATTTTATTGATGATAATCCTACATGAGTCATGTCTCTTACATTTGCATTGAGCATCTTGATGTATATGCTCTCATACCATTTTATTTTCTTTCTCTGCTTACTTCGCCCAATCATACAGCGCGGAACTCTGAGACAGCTCTCAATTTGGTTATTAAGGTCATCAACAAATGTATCAATGTCTTCTGGGATTTGGTATTCCTTGAACCAGTCACTCATCTTGTTTATGAAGTGCGGCCTCATATCCGCTCGAGTGATAACCTTTTTCTTTTATTTGTCTCTTTACTTTTGTTGTTCATGTCGACGGTGGTAATCAGTCCCCAGTGGTCACAACATAGACTGTGTACAGTGTGTGTACTGGCATCCGTGTCCTGTGCATTCAGCAGAAGAGCATAGTCTTACCTTCCTCCTCAGAGGTGAGTTGGCTGTTCATCACCATGTTCACAACTTGTCTCAACTAGTGAAATACCATCCATAGTATACAAGAGTGCCTCCTATTATATAGACTGTGGGTTGGTTGGTGTTGTCGTCGTTGATCCTTCTCTATGTACAACCCAACCCACAACTCGGCAGAGTGCTTATACTAGGAGATCACCCTTGGCGCTTCTGGCTCTTGGAGAGGGGCTCAACGTCACACGTTCAGGGGATGCAGCTCCAACACTTAGCCTCGTTGTCACGTGCACACACCCACTCGAGCCGCTGTGACTCCCCACTCTCTCCTTATGAGATATGATCTCCTCAATCCCCCTATGACTTACCAGTATTACCTCCTACCCTGTCCACAGCAGTGGTTCATGGTTCTTCCTCTCTCTCTCTCCTTCTTTACTACCTCCTGGGAAGCCTCACTAGGACAAGGGCAAACACCAGCAAATTGTGACACATTTACTGAACAAAGCACATACACGATACATACACACATATAATAATAATGAATCCTATACTCTATAATATCCAAATCAGGTTGCACTCCAATACCATCAGAACTCTATTATCAGCTTATCAAGTGGTATCCCAACTCCTGGTTCACCACCTGGTACTATTAACCTCCTCAAGTTGGTCAAGCCCACACACTGTTGCACCATCAGCAAGATAACATATATATATAGAAAACCAGCATTTGAATGCAATAACATATACCAGTATAAATGTTCATTGATACTTCAATATAAGAAACTCCTTGACATAAGGATGCCAACAGTCACTCACCTCTCACTGCGTCTTGCACGCTACTGACAACCAAACACTATCAACTCCCTATAAGTAATCCCCCAGAACTTCCCCTTCCACCTCTGGAAGTTCACAACCCTAATATCCTTAGGTTCTGCCGGGCTTCACTACCAGGATCCTCTGCAGCTCCTCCAGGCTGCTATCATGAAGTTTCCTTGTGCAACTACGGTGCTTCACCCTTCTGTTAGGTTCTTCCACAGCTCTCTTGGCTGCTACACCACCTCTACAGAAGCACGTGACACTCCTCTTCACTGCTGCTTCTCCTCACAGCTCGAGGTCCTCTGCTTCACTACCTTGGAGTCTCATCAGCTACTTCCTCTGCTGGCTTCGAAGTTCTCAGCAACTTCTTCCCCAAAGAACAAACCTGCAACCCATCGACACTCCAATAAAATGTTCCCCTTTAACACACAAACAAAAATAACCACACACTATGCTTGCCTCAAACCTCTATCTGTTCTCTACATACAGTGAGAGTGGACTCCCCCGTTTTGGGCGGGTCCATACTCCACCTCGCCTGGTGTCGGTCCTCACTCACTGGGAGGGTCTTCCTCCGTCAAGAGCCCGGCTCCCTCAGTCTTCCGCCAGCGCTCAGAGGGGGCGGACGTCGCTCCGTGTTCCTCCCTCTTCACCCTCCTATTTCAGGCTTTCTGCCTTATTAAAACATGTCTAACTTATACATAAACATTGCTACTGTCGCTGGGCACACGACCAAACTACAAGTAATCACTATGAACTGGCGTTTATCGTGCTTACCACAGATTAATTGGTCGAGGGCGCTTTCCCTCTGACGGCGTCTGGTCAGGGCGCTCCACACAGCCCACAATAATGCTTCTGGGCGATTTAATATTCACTAATTATCGTCCACGACTTGAGACCACACGTCCCCAGCTCTATTCCACAGCTGGTACGTCTGCACACTTCTCTTCTCTTAGAGATATATCACTAGGGGTTCCCTTCTGACGGGAGCTCAACGGAGCGCGGCTTCCCCCTGCGATGTCTGGCACTCAAGTGAGGTCAAGGTCCTCCAGAAGCGAGCCTCAAGCCTCCAGCAAAATGTCCACATCTCCTAGCCAGTCATTTATCTATTTTCTTCTGCATTGCCCATAATCTCAAACTGTTACACATATCCAACCAACTATTTTACATATGCGTTATCACCTCAATACTTGCTAGACCTTCTAGTTAGGTCAGGCTTGCTGAATAACTCTCAAGAAGGGAGACTCGTTTCTCCTGCAGGCTGAGATCATAACACTCCCCTCCCCTTATTTTTGAGAGTTATTCCAGTGGCAAAGCTCGGGATAATACATCCGCCACCACGCTGTCTCGTTCTTCAACCGATTGGTTCGAACGGTTGATCTGCTTACGTACTCCCTTAAGAGTCTGCAATTAGTTCGTTGCTCTTTGCAACATCTGGCTCACAACTCGCCAGAAACATGATCTTCTCATAAACGATTTGACCTCTCTGACACCTCTTGGCTAGGCTGTCCACCTTGGACGCCTGCAATCCATTGGTCCACTCTACTTATTGTCTCCACCCTCCGTTTCCTCGTCTTCTTCTCTTCTCGTCCAGAGTCAGACCTCTACTGTCTGTACCTCCTCTGTCGTCTTCACTCTTCCATCTACTGCCATTATACTTTCGTCTCCTGTCATCATACTTCACTCCATCGTCTTCACCGACGCTCCTCCCTTTCGTCTCCTCATATATCCGAGACCTCATCCTGTTTGACCTCCATCGAGTCCTCGGCTTTCTTCTATTCCTCCATGCTTGCATCATCATCCTCTTCCCACACTTCTCACCTCTATACAACTCCATTTCTTCTCCTTCAACTCTTCTTCTTTCCCTAAAAGTTTCTCCGAGCGCTGTGCTACATCCAACAGCACTCGACCGTACATGTCGCTTTACCTCTCCTTGTGTGCTCGTAAGCATCTCTCCACACATACTGTCTCTTCTCATTTCACCTTCTCGGTTACTACTCTTCTTCACTATCTTTTCTTCAGGTTTTCTGTGAAACACGTCAACTCCTGACACCTCAAACAACTTAACTCTACTATCCAGATGCCTCTGTGCTCGTGGACAACTTGACGTTCTACTTCCGTCCTCAGTCTGTCCACATCTTTCCTCATTCCCACTCAGCACAGTTGCATTCGCCTTCCGACTCTTAATTTCAGCAGTCCGGGCTCTACTCAGGTCCGCTCTCTTCACCTGATTCTTCTTCGGCTGGGCCATCTTCACTTTTGACCTCACCGAGACTTCATTTTTCTGGGCTGGACCTTCATCAAACAGCCGTGCTATATCTACATCGATCTCTTCCACTGGCTGAATCGACACTGTCTCACCTTCTCCAGTGTCTTCCTCGTCGGCCACCTCTGCCTTCCTCACTACCGAGACAGGGCACTCAATGGCTTGGCGGTCTCCTGACTCATCCCCTCGGATGTCAGTCAGGTTCACACTCTCAGGTGTCCCACCCGTGCAGTGGCCTTCTGGGCACTCCTCTGGCACAGTCTCCGCTACGACTCTCGGCAACACCTTTGTCCCGCACAAGTCATTCCCCAGGATCACTTGGACTCCTGGAACAGGTATGTCGGGGCATACTCCCAACATCACCACTGCCGACACATATTCCGACCTTAGCTGGACAGTACAAACGGGCATGTCACTCTCCGACAATAACCCATATACTTTCATCTTCCCACTGCCAGCTAACCGTCGATCATTCCCAATCAGGCTTCTCGCAATCAAGCTCTGATTAGCTCCGGTATCTCTTAAGATACCAACTTCTACCTCAGGTTGGCCTCCTACACTGATCCAACCTTTGCTCATGAACGGTCTATACCTCTCGTTCACTAAGTTCATCTTCTGTGGTTTGTCTCGGAACACATTAGTATATTTACCTCGGGGGTCACACATGGCCAGGGTCACAACTCTCTTGCCCTGCCGACAATCTCGCATCACGTGACCCAATCCGTTACAATTGTAACATCTCATCTGGGAAAAGTCTCTTCTATATGTACCAGAGTAGCTCTGACTCTGCCCACTCGTATTGGAGTTCCTCGGGCCAGACGTACTACTCGTACTCTGTGGAGCTTTACTGGACTCTTGATTCCCTGGATAACGATTAGTTTCTCGTTTAGCTCCTCCATCTTCACTTTCAGACGAAGTGCGCGACCTACTCTTCTGAGTTTTAGGGTACTTACGTTTATCTGCCCATTTATCAAAATTTTTCTCACCCCAGACTCTTCTGGGTTTCTCATAATTTCTTCCTCCCCAGACTCCACTGGATCTGCCATTGCTGCATCTCGCCTCGCTTCTCACTCTGTTCTCTCTTCGTGCTGTCTTAATTCTCTCTTGTTCTGCTTTAGCGGCCTCCATCTTTATCATAGTCAGTTCAGCCTTGGCCGTTTCTTGTTCGGCCTTGGCTCTCTCTTGTCCGACTTTAAGCTTTTCCTGTTCAGCTTTAGCTTTTTCCTGTTCGGCTTTAGCTTTTTCCTGTTCGGCTTTAGCTTTCTCTTGCTCAGCTTTAGCTCGCTCCTGCTCGGCTTTGGCTTTCTCTTGCTCAAGCCGAGCCTGCCTCTCTTCACGTTGCAGCTGTACCTCATTGTCTCCTGGTTCCAACTTTGGTTCCATCTCGCGCCTCTCAAGGCTGCTTTCCCTGCTGCTACTTGAGTTTACATTAATTCCTTCGTCACTTGGCGCATCATCCGTTTCCTCTGAAATTTCTTCCAACCTATCGGGTTCTTCATTCTGAGGCAGGGCTTCGGCTCCTCCTTGCTGGCACTGTGTTTCCTCTTGTTCACATTGGCGTTTCGCTTCCTTCTCTTCTGCTTTTTGTTCCCTTAACCAAGTCCGTAGCGCCTCGCGTCCATCCTCTATCTTATCTTGCCAACCCTTTAGGCCGAAATGGTCTTCCAACATCCTTATCTGCCTCCTAGTGCACATGTCTAGAATCCTCTCGTCATGAGTTTTGCAGAACATGCTTACTCTGTCTATCTGCGTTATTGCCTTGATTTCCTTTCGTTTACTAGACGCCCTGTTTGACTTCAACCTAACACCATACATTTTAGCGATCAACCAAAGTTGTTCCTGGGTACAATTTTGCAAGATTTCATCATCTCCTGTATCAATGTACTTCTGGGCTCTCGCAAGGTCTTTCTCCGAACCTCTAAAATTCAGGACTGCTGTCATCCTGTCCTGTGAGTCTTCCCAAGAGAGAGAATATACACCTGCGGTCACACAGTTTATCTATTTCAGCAAGGGTGTACAAATCCACTCTTGGACAGGGTGTGGGTGTGTCAGTTCACTCTCCCGGACAGGCCCCCAAATTTATTATATAGACTGTGGGTTGGTTGGTGTTGTCGTCGTTGATCCTTCTCTATGTACAACCCAACCCACAACTCGGCAGAGTGCTTATACTAGGAGATCACCCTTGGCGCTTCTGGCTCTTGGAGAGGGGCTCAACGTCACACGTTCAGGGGATGCAGCTCCAACACTTAGCCTCGTTGTCACGTGCACACACCCACTCGAGCCGCTGTGACTCCCCACTCTCTCCTTATGAGATATGATCTCCTCAATCCCCCTATGACTTACCAGTATTACCTCCTACCCTGTCCACAGCAGTGGTTCATGGTTCTTCCTCTCTCTCTCTCCTTCTTTACTACCTCCTGGGAAGCCTCACTAGGACAAGGGCAAACACCAGCAAATTGTGACACATTTACTGAACAAAGCACATACACGATACATACACACATATAATAATAATGAATCCTATACTCTATAATATCCAAATCAGGTTGCACTCCAATACCATCAGAACTCTATTATCAGCTTATCAAGTGGTATCCCAACTCCTGGTTCACCACCTGGTACTATTAACCTCCTCAAGTTGGTCAAGCCCACACACTGTTGCACCATCAGCAAGATAACATATATATATAGAAAACCAGCATTTGAATGCAATAACATATACCAGTATAAATGTTCATTGATACTTCAATATAAGAAACTCCTTGACATAAGGATGCCAACAGTCACTCACCTCTCACTGCGTCTTGCACGCTACTGACAACCAAACACTATCAACTCCCTATAAGTAATCCCCCAGAACTTCCCCTTCCACCTCTGGAAGTTCACAACCCTAATATCCTTAGGTTCTGCCGGGCTTCACTACCAGGATCCTCTGCAGCTCCTCCAGGCTGCTATCATGAAGTTTCCTTGTGCAACTACGGTGCTTCACCCTTCTGTTAGGTTCTTCCACAGCTCTCTTGGCTGCTACACCACCTCTACAGAAGCACGTGACACTCCTCTTCACTGCTGCTTCTCCTCACAGCTCGAGGTCCTCTGCTTCACTACCTTGGAGTCTCATCAGCTACTTCCTCTGCTGGCTTCGAAGTTCTCAGCAACTTCTTCCCCAAAGAACAAACCTGCAACCCATCGACACTCCAATAAAATGTTCCCCTTTAACACATAAACAAAAATAACCACACACTATGCTTGCCTCAAACCTCTATCTGTTCTCTACATACAGTGAGAGTGGACTCCCCCGTTTTGGGCGGGTCCATACTCCACCTCGCCTGGTGTCGGTCCTCACTCACTGGGAGGGTCTTCCTCCGTCAAGAGCCCGGCTCCCTCAGTCTTCCGCCAGCGCTCAGAGGGGGCGGACGTCGCTCCGTGTTCCTCCCTCTTCACCCTCCTATTTCAGGCTTTCTGCCTTATTAAAACATGTCTAACTTATACATAAACATTGCTACTGTCGCTGGGCACACGACCAAACTACAAGTAATCACTATGAACTGGCGTTTATCGTGCTTACCACAGATTAATTGGTCGAGGGCGCTTTCTCTTCTCTTAGAGATATATCACTAGGGGTTCCCTTCTGACGGGAGCTCAACGGAGCGCGGCTTCCCCCTGCGATGTCTGGCACTCAAGTGAGGTCAAGGTCCTCCAGAAGCGAGCCTCAAGCCTCCAGCAAAATGTCCACATCTCCTAGCCAGTCATTTATCTATTTTCTTCTGCATTGCCCATAATCTCAAACTGTTACACATATCCAACCAACTATTTTACATATGCGTTATCACCTCAATACTTGCTAGACCTTCTAGTTAGGTCAGGCTTGCTGAATAACTCTCAAGAAGGGAGACTCGTTTCTCCTGCAGGCTGAGATCATAACACTCCCATGCCCTTGCACCACCCATAGCTTTGCTGTTCAATAAATCTCTAGAGTGTCATACCTTCTCTGATATCCTTAAAGCAAGAGTAACGCCAGTTCATAAAGGAGGCAATCCGGCAGACATAAATAATTACAGACCCATATCAAATCTACCTATATTATAAAAAATATTTGAAAAAATTATTTACAAACAACTCTACTTCTATTTCGTAAAATTCAAAATACTAAGTCCTTGTCAGTTTGGCTTCCGCTCCCAAAAGAGTACCTATGAAGTAATTGTTAGTCTGTTTGACTTAATCTACTCGGCCCTTGACAGAAGTGAGTTTCCGATTGGGCTCTTCATTGATCTAAGAAAGGCTTTTGATACTGTTAGCCTTAACTACCTCTTACTTAAACTCCACCATTATGGAATCCGAGGTCTTGCCCTGGTTGATTCCTGGTTGATGGGGTTCTTTGAGTTCTGCCACTTCTTGACTTGTGCGAGTTTCGTCCTCCAGGCTGTTGCTTGGAGCGGCCCGCGGGCACACATATCCACCACAGCCCGGTTGGTCCGGTACTCCTTGGAAAAAAAGTCTAGTTTTCTCTTCAAAACGTTCACGGTTGTTCCGGTAATATTTCTGATAGTCGCTGGTAGGACGTTAAACAACCGTGGACTTCCGATCATTATACAGTGTTCTCTGATTGTGCCTATGGCACCTCTGCTCTTCACGGGTTCTATTCTGCATTTTCTTCCATATCGTTCACTCCAGTATGTTGTTATTTTACTGTGTAGATTTGGGTCCTGGCCCTCCAGTATTTTCCATGTGTATACTATTTGGTATCTCTCTCGACTCCTTTTTAGTGAGTACATTTGGAGAACTTTGAGACGATCCCAATAAATTAGGTGCTTTATCTCGTCTATGCCTGCCGTATATGTTCTCTGTATTCCCTCTATTTAAGCAATCTCTCCTGCTCTGAAGAGGGAAGTGAGTACTGAGCAGTACTCAAGACTGGACAACACAAGTGATTTGAAGAGTACAACCACTGTGATGGGCTCTCTGGATTTGAAGGTTCTCGTAATCCATCCTATCATTTTTCTAGCTGACGCAATATTTGCTTGGTTATGCTCCCTAAACGTTAGGTCGTCGGACATCATTATTTCCAAATACTTGATATGCTACTTTCCTACTATGGGCAGATTCGATTGTCTTTTGTACCCTGTTTCAGCTCCTCATTTTTGTCGTACCTGAGTACCTGGAATTTATCACTGTTAAACATCATGTTATTTTCTGCTGCCCAATCGAAAACTTTGTTAATATCTGTTTGTAGTTTTTCAATGTCTTCAGCAGAGGTAATTTTCATGCTGATTTTTGTATCATCTGCAAACGATGACACGAAGCTGTGACTTGTATTTTTGTCTATATCTGATATGAGAGTAAGGGAAAGTAGTTGTACAAGGACTGTACATTGAGGTACAGAGCTTTTAACTGCGCTTGGACTCGATTTTATTTGATTGACTGTTACTTTTTGTGTTCTGTTCGACAGTAAATGGAGTATCCAGCATCCTACTTTACCAGTTATACCTATTGACCTCATTTCGTGTGCTATCACTCCATCGTCACATTTGTCGAATGCCTTTGCAAATTCTGTGTTTACTACATCTGCATTCTGTTTTTCTTCTAATGCCTCAGTGATTTTGTCGTAATGGTCAAGTAGCCGTGAGAAACGGGATCTTCCCGCTCGAAATCCATGTTGGCCTTGATTGTGGAGGTCATTTGTTTCCGTGAATCTAGTGACCTGACTCATGATCACTCTCTCAAATACTTTTATTATGTGGTACGTTAGTGCAACTGGTTTATAATTCTTTGCCAATGCTTTGCTCCCTCCCTTGTGTAGAGGGGCTATGTCTCAGAATATACCAGGTATCTCCCCCGTGTCCAAGCTCTTCCTCCACACTATACTGAGTGCCTGTGCTATTGGCACTTTGCATTTCTTTATGAATATTAAATTCCATGAGTGTAGACCCGGGAATGAATGCATGGGCATATTGTCAATTTCTCTTTCAAAATCTGTTACGCTCGTGTTGATATAAATTATATTTACAGGTGTTTGGATATCATGCATATAGAAGTTTTGCGGATCTTCCACTTTCATGCTGTTTATCGGAGTGCTAAGCATGTCCTCATATTGCTTTTTCAGGATTTCGCTAATTTCTTTGTCATCCTCAGTGTATGCACCTTCACTAATACGAATAGGTCCAATACTGGCAGTGGTTTTTGCTTTTGATTTAGCATATGTGAAGAAATATTTTGGGTTTTTCTTTATTTCTTGAATTGCTTTCTGTTCCAGTTGCTTTTCTTCAGTCTGATATAAATCCTTCAGTCTCTGTTCGATTTCTTCAATCTCCCTGTTTAAATTATTCCTTCTTTGTATGGAGAGTCGTGTCTGCTTAAGTATTTCCGTTAATTTCTTCCTTCTTTTGTAATGTCGTCTGCGTTTTCTTTCTACATTGGACCTCTTTCTGGCTCTCCTCAAAGGAACATGTTTCAGACAGACTTCATATGCTTCAGAAGTCAGTTTTTCCATTCCTTGTGTAGGATTTTTATTTCTTACAAACATTCAATGGGAAAATGTTCTAAGTTCCCTGTTTATTTTCTCCCAATCTATCCTTTTATTATTAAAATTAAATTTATTGAATAACCCTTCTCGCATGTTGTTTCTCTTGGGCCTACTACCGTTAATGTTAGTTTGCACTTCAATGAGCTTGTGGTCCGAGTACGTAGTGTCTAAGACAGTAATGTGTCTGATTAGCTCATCATTGTTCATGAATATCAAGTCCAGCGTGTTTTCGTTCCTAGTTTGCTCTGTAATCTGCTGACTGAGCGAGAATGTGTCACAGAATCTCAGTAGTTCTCTGTCCTGTGGTTGGTTATTTCCAGGTTGATTTCCTGCTATAATGTCATTGTTTACTATTCTCCATTTTAAACTGGTGTAGATTGAAGTCTGCAAGGAAGATAATATCTGGTACTGGGGTTTGCTA